TAAACCCCACACCCTTGAACGAAAGGCCTCGCGACTCCAAAGGTGCCTGGCTGGTGTCTGTTTTAACGGTGAAGTTTCCGATGTCGCTCGAAGCTCGAGACCCTGAGCCCCTCATAGAGGGTCCTTGATAGCTAAGATAGGGTTGGGTGTATGGGCATAAGAAGGAACCCCCCCAAAACAGTATTGTTAATTAATTAGGCCCCTACATTAACCCCCAAACTCGAAGCTTGAGTCGGAGGAGGCTTTAGAGGAGCTGCTGTAGGGCATTTAGATGGGGCTTTTGCAATACTTATTTAGTGTGGTCTGAACAAATTAATTAGGGTCTAGGGTTCAGAGTTCATAAACTTTAAACCCTAAGCCCTAAACCCCCCAAGCCTGAAACCCTAAACCCTAAACCCCTAAACCCCCCAAACCCTAAACCCTAAACCCCCCTAACCCCCCCCAAGCCCTAAACCCTAAACCCTACTTGTGAAGTGGTTTCCAAGTTCTTGGGCTTCCCGCGCTTCCCCCAAGTGCTCCAGATACTGAAATCGCTGGTGACTAAAGACATACTCCTAAACCCTAAAGGGTTCAGGGTTTAGGGTTTAATCCTAAACCCGAAACCAATACCCTAAGCATACAATTACTTATGTATCCCCCTTAAGCCCTTGGTTTAGGTAACTGGAGCCCTAATAAGGTTTTTTTTGCTTGTGGTTTGCTGGGTTTGGAGTTATCTTTACCCATGGGCCCCATAGTAGTTCGTTTTTGGGATTACCTTATAGGATTCTAAATATGAACCCCAAAAGGAACTACTAGGGGGCCTATGGGTAATGCTTGCCTTTGTGGGTTTAGGTTTTGAGATATAGGGCTTGGACCCCGAGCCGGAGACGCCCGCCCCTCAGGGGTTTAGGGTTTGGGGTTTAGGGTTTAGGGTTTAGGGTTTAGGGTTTAGGGTTTAGGGTTCAGGGTTTAGGGTTTAGGGTTTAGGGTTTAGGGTTTAGGGTTTAGGGCTTCTTTTTAAATTCAAAGGCCCAGAACCCGAGACCCCACAGTGGAGTGAGTATAGTGGGGACCTGATTAAGACACCCTGGCCCCAGAACCCCAACATAGTCGGATTCATAGTAAGACTCCTAACAGAGACCCAGGGTTCCTTAATCAGGTCCCTATATTGCCCTAGACCCTGCACCCCTAAACCCCTAAGCCCTAAACCCTATATAAGCCCTAACCCCTACACTAAACCCTGAACCCTAAACCCCTGAACCCTAACCCCTAAGCCCTAAAGCCTTGCTATATGGGTGGTTGTCAAAATTATGGTCCCATTTGGGGTCCTTATTACAATACGGCACCTATAATTTAGGGTGCCCCAATAGGGCCCATAATTGTGACAACCACCCATTTGTTACGGCCAAAGGCCCGAAACCCTTCAGATCGCGCCAGGTCCAGCAGCCCTTCGGCTGCACCCGGAAAGTCACCGAAATGGCGTTTCGAAGCCTTGGTTAGGGCGAGGACGGGTTTAGGGTTTAGGGTGTTTAAGGTTTCCCTGGAGTGAAAGGGAATTGTTGAGGCCCCCCCATTATCATGGGGACGAGATTTAGTGAATTTCGTGTTTAGGGTTCCTTTTTGATTTAAAGGCTACAGTTGCATGGTTCAAAAGTCTAGGATTTCAGGATACAGCAGTGGAATTGTTGCAGTTCAGGGCTTCTTGCAAGCAGAACCCCGAGCACCCTCAACCTACCGCAGGTTTGAGTTTCGTCAACCCTCAACCAGCCTAAATCCTAAACCCTTATATAAACCCCTATAAACCCCTAAACCCAAAAAAAGATGTGGGTTGGGGCGAGGGAGGCATCGCTCAGGATCTGTACTTGGAGAGGAATCGTAGCCGCCATTTCGCTACACAGCAACCCTATGCGCTGCTTTGAACCCTCTTTTGTATGGCTTACGGTTTAGGGTTTAGGGATGAAGCCCATCAACAAGCGTTTAAAACGCGATATGCCCGGAGCCATCGAACCCAACCTAGACCCCAAAACCCTGAACCTATAACCGACAAACGTAGAACCATGACGAACCTTATGCCCCACAGAAAACCACCGAATGACCAGCCCATTGCGATCCTTCTCCTGAAGCACCCTGCGCGTTTGTAACCAGCCGCACCGTAAACTCTGCACCCAATCAGCCTACACCAAACCCTAAATTCCTTAACCCCTGCTCCCGAAATCGTAAACTCTGCACCCTAATGACACTAAACCATAAACCCTGAGCCCTGCGTAAACCCTAGCAATTCTAAGCCCTGTGCCTCAAACCCTAAACCCTATAAACTCTTCACCCTAAACCCTAAACTGCTAAACCCTAAGCCCTAAGCTCCTGGTCCTAAGCCCCTAACCCCAAACCCTAGACCTGCTTTGGAGCTCATGCGACGAAAAAGGCCCTTAAAAAAAAAAAAA